GCCGCTCCTCCGCGACACCCTCCGCCGCCCTCGTCGGCCCGGCCCCGGCCCGCGGCCCCCTCCCGCGGCGGGCGGCATGGACTACCTGACCATGTTCACGGGCAAGGGCGGGCGCCTGCTGCGGGGCACGGCCCACCGCCTGTGGGGGCTCGCGGGCGGCGGCGAAGCCCGGCAGGTGTGCTTCGAGGACTACCTGCGGGAGCCCGGCGGGGCCGCGCCGCCCCCGCCCCCGGCGGCGCCGTCCACCCCGGAGCGACCCGGTGAGCCCGAGCCTCCCGTTGGCCCGCCTCCCGCGTGGCCCCCCGCCGGGCCGAGGGCCGGGGAGGGGGTGTGGCCCGGGCGGGCTCCTGGGGCTGCGGGGCGGCCCGGCCGGGCCGGGCCGGGGTGCTGGGACCGGGGCGGCCGGCCGGGCGGGCGGGCGGGGAGCACTCGGTGTCGCAGCTTGTCCTGCCCCGCGCGCTTCCTGCTCTCTCTCTCCCCCCTGGAGGGGGGATCCCTTCACCCCGATCCCCTCGTTCTCCTTTCCCACCCGGAGGGGAATATTAAACTTGATTATGACGCTCCTCTTTCCCGTCTTGGAGACTCTTAAGATGACCGCCCTGCCCACCTGTTTTGGGTTCGGGGCCCGAGTGTCTTTGAGGTTTGCCGCCGCCGTGAGGGTCCCACTTGAGCACCCCATATACTAGAGAAAGGAAAAGGCTTACCTTAAACTGCAACCTAGTTGATTTAGTATCAAGTATTTTGTTTTCCTTATTTAAGAAAAAAAATAAAATAAAAATTCTTGTGTCATGTAGTTTGAAAGGGTGTATGTTGCCTTGAGGGGGAAGGAAGGCGCCTAGGAACTTTTTACCGGTTGCCATTTATTAGATGGACGGCTGTCCTGCGGTTCTTTCATCCATAGGGCCTGTGTACCCTTCTTTCCCCACTCCCCTTACCCCAAAATAAATCAGTCATAATGGTATGATATTGATGTCTTAGGAGTTTTCAAAAGCGCTTGTTGAAGTATTAGCACAGCGCATATGGCAACCTTTGCAGTGTTGTTGGATTGATTCCTCCAAGTCGGTGATTTTTCAACCTTTTTTTTTTTTTTTTAATCTCATGGCACACACAAAGTAATTGCTAAAATTCTGCAGCACATCAAAAAATGTGTTTGTTTGTTGTTGTTTTTTTTGCCAATCTGACCCCAAAAAAAGGGTATAAAACTATTCACACACCTGGCGTGTGAATGAAACTGACTCATTCACACACCATGTGGCTACTGTTGTGTTAGCTGTTGTCATTTTTTTATTTTTCTTTATTTGACAATATGAAGGAGAAGAGGCCCATGCTCCTGATTAAATAGGTAATGCACGTTTAAAATTTTTTTTGTTCACACACCTTTGAAAGGCCAGGCCCTTCCTTCAATTCTTGACAATGTCCTGTGTCTTCCAGCAGTGTTTCTTGTACAGGCTCTTGACCACACATGTAGATCGGCTGCTCTCTAGTGCCCGGTTTGTTGTTACTGACCTTGCTGCTCACCATTTCTATTTAGTAATCATGTTGATAAGTCTCTCCATTGACAGATTGTAAGGATGGACCGGATATGTACCCTTGACGAGGAATCGAACCCGGGACCCTTTGGTGCTCCGGCAGACAGACGCTCCAACCACTGAAACATGCTGGCCATACTGGTTTTCATAGTGGCTGTACCAGTTTACATTCCCGCGAGCAGTGAGGGAGGGTTCCTTTTTCTCCACAACCTCTCCAGCACTTGTTATTTATCTGTCTGGTTGATAATAGCCATTCTAACAGTTGTAAGATGGTATCTTATTGTAGTTTTGATTTGCAAGTTTCATTCTTTCCCACGTGGCTTTTCAATTATTTCCCCAGCACGTTTATTGAAGAAACTTTCTTTTCTCCATTGTGTTTTTGGCTCCTTTGTCAAAGATTATTTGCCCATGTCCATCTGGCTTTATTTTGGGGCTCTCGGTTCTTTTCCACTGGTCTGTGTGTCCGTTTTTTACTGCCAGTGCCATGCTGTTTTGATTACCCTAGCTCTGTAGTATAATTTGAAGTGAGGTAGTGTGATTAACTCCAGCTTCACTCTTTATTTTTCTCAGGATTGCTTTGGATATTCATCAAGATCTTTTGTGGTTCCATACTAATCTGATAATTTTTGTTCTGTTTCTTTAAAAAAATTACCTTGAGATTTTGATGGGGATTGCATTAGATCTATATATTGCTTTGGGCAACATGGCTATGGTCTATACCCACTAGATGCCAGTGGATTGATTCTTCCAATTCCTGAATGCAGAATATCCTTCCACTTCATTGTGTCTTTTCATTTTCTCTTACTAATGATTTGTAGTTTTTAGTATATAGGTCCTTTACATCTTTTGTTAAGGTTTTCCCTAGTTACAATATTTTCTTTTGGTTGCAGTTCAGAAGGAATTGTTCTTTTAATTTTTTTTCTGGCATTTCATTGTTAGTATATAGGAAAGCAGTGGATTTTTGTACATTGATTTTGTGTCTTGCAATGTGACTGTATTTGTTTATTGTTTCTATCATATTAGAAAACGACATTAATTATTACTAAACCTAATATGTGTATAGAAGAATAATGGGTAGGTGGTTAGAAGGTAGGAGTAACTGAAAGGTATTTGTTTGCCATTAGAAAGAATGTCCTAAAATGTGTGTCTAAAATTAAGCAGATCCTTAAAAAATATTAAGAGGTTGGTATTATTGTATCATTCTTGCTTCAGTTTTAGGTGGGATATTTTTACCTTTGATCAAGCAAGTTTCAACAAATTTCAAAGAGTTTAACCTTTTTTTAAGAGTATTTTCTTACACCACAGTGCAATTAAGCTAGTAATCAGTAACTAAAAGATAAGTTTTAAAAATTGTCATTCTCTAAATAGCAAAAGAAGAAATTAGCCAGTATTTTGGACTGGATTATTAAAACACAGTACCAAAACTTACTGGAACCAGTTTCGATGGGAATTTATTGCTTTAGATTCCATATATAAAGTCTCTGCTTTTGGTAATGGTGGAGTAAATTCTAATTCCCTTTTTCCATTATGCCACAGTAATCCTATCTCAGGGAAACTTAGGCATTCCTTTATCTGTCAGATATTTATTGAATACCTACTGTATGTCAGGTATATAGGGTACTAGGTATATAGCAGGGTTTCTCAAGCTGATAGTATTAACATTTGAGAGTACATAATTTCTTTGTTGTTGATGACTGTCGTGTACATTGTTTAGCACATAATGTTTCATAGTGTTCACGATCTATACTCTCTAGTTGCCGGTGGCACGCCTCTAATTATAAACAAAAGTGTGTCTCAATGTCCTTACTTGTGAAGTGGGAATAAAAATGACATCTACTTTGAGAGTTGATGAATTACATAACGAACCAGAGGCCCAGTGCACCCACCAGTTTGTGCATGGGTGGGGTCCGGCCAGCCTGCCCCCGTCGGGGCGGATCAGGGCCGGTCCTGTCGAGAAGAGGAGATGGTGGGAGGTTGGCTTCCCCCATTGGCCCCATCGGGGCCTGGCTGGTTGGGGGAAGGGACTGTGGGCAATTGGCTGGCAGGCCCTGCCCCCAGTTGGGATGGGGGCAGTGCTGGCCATGGTGAGGAGCTGTGGGTGGTGGCGTTCCAGTTGCTGGCTTTTTATATAGATAGAGAGATTTTAAAACAGTGCCTGGCATATACTAGGCACTTGATAAATGTTAACTGTTATTTTATTAAATAAGTAAAAATGTAGTTAAGTATATTTTATAACTTCGAATATTTTCAGCTTATTTTAAACTTAAAACTGTGAAAAGTTGGTATATTAATTTTCTTGCTCAAAACTGCACTCTGTGGTGAGCTCTTGACAATGATAGAACAATTGCAAACTTCATTGTGATTAAATGTTTAATGAATTCTTGGGATATTATGAAACACAGATTGGAAAACTGCTGTTAGGCAAAGTAAGTGTAGATTAATGGTTACTCCTAAGTCAATTAAGGAAAGAAATATTAGTTAAAAGTAATCTGTATTTTACTTTGCTTAAAAAGTTTATAAATTGGAAAATGTGTTTTACTTCCTCTGCTGTTTATGAAACAGCAGAAATTTTTATTTAAAACTTTATTTAACATGGAGGGGATAGATGGTGATGGAAGAATGAAGTAAAAAAACTTTAAAAATAGTTCTAATGTTTTCTCATAAGAAAATAAAATTGAAGTATATACTAACCATTTTGCATTCCCACCATGAATGAAGAATACCTCTTTTTCTATAGCCAAACAGTGTAGTCAAACTTGTGATTTTTTTACCAGTCTGATAGGTGAGAAATGGTATTCAGTGTAGTTTAAATGTGCATTTTTCTAATTAAGAGTTAGATTGAACACATTTTTCATATGCTTAAGGACCATTTTTATGTCCTCTTATGAATTCTGTGATCATATATTTTGCCTGTTTTTACATCTGAGAGTTTTCATCTTCCCCACCTTCCTTCTCCCCCCCCCCCCCTTCCCCTGGCCTCAGTCTCAGTGTGAGTTCTTCAAGTACTTGGGACTAATTTTTTAGACTTGATTTTGTTAACTGTATATATTCTAGAGGGTCCCTAGGCCTGGCCAGTGATTAGGGTCTATCAGAGCCTTCCAGCTGCCGGTCAAAGTCTTCCTTCATTCCATACCACCCCCTGGTGGTCAGCACACGTCATAGTGAGTGATCGAACTCCCAAGTGAATACTTTACATATTAGCCTTTTATATATATAGATATATATATATAACAATATATAAAATCTTCAAATAATCAGTTTAGATGTGTTGAAGGAAGCGATAATATATATTTCCTTTTTTTGATAGTTGACTGTATGTTAGAGTATAGAATTCCAGGGAACAAACTGTCTTACTAGTGAATCTCATACATATCAGCCCATTGAGCTCTATTTAACAGTCTTTGACATTACTTTGAAAGGAATATAAATTCAATAGGGTTTTGCCTCTCTTTCTCCCCTCCCCCTCCCCAGATACTGGCCAAAAGAAGAGCCTAGACAAGAAAGATGGGAGACGAATGTCTTTTCAGAAACCTAAAGGGACTATTGAGTATACTGTAAGTTGTTTGCATTTTAAAAAGCTGATTTATCTCTGCAGTAGTCTTAGTTAAAATATTTTTTGTCCTTCCAGTGTTAAATCTTGACTGTTTTCTATGAATCATTAAAATTGAACCAATTATCAAAACCTTAAATTATCAATTTAAGTATTTTAAAAAGGTTAGGAACCAGATAACTTACCGTAGAATATTTACTATCTAAAAAAATCTCTCCTTAAAGCATCTTATAAACTTAAACTAAGTGTGTTTGTCCTTTCTCTGTATGCTTGAGAAATTTAGAAAATAAGTTCAAATACTAAAATATTGGGTAATGTAATTTGATATATTCATTAGTGTTCATTAAGGCATAAGATTATAGGCATGAAGCATAAGATATTATCTACACATGTAACCATGTGATTATGCAGAATTGTTAACTTTCAGTTGATTTTGAATTCAAGAGTTTGCCATTCTTTATTTTGGTGATTCAATAAAATTTGTATTATTTGTAGTAAAGTTCAATTCAAATTAAGAGCCATTATTTTGTAGGGATAGTTATTTTAATTTGAAATTATTTTTTTTCTTAATGTTATAAATGACCTTTGGGATATAATCAAGTATTGGCCAGAAAAGTTAAAAAACATCCTCTAGCAGGTCTTTGATTAGTCTGTTAGTCTTTTTAAAATTTCTTAATCCTTTATTTCATGTCAAATCCTAAATAAAAGTGTAATTCCAAAATTAAGATATTTTGTCTTATATTTTATTCTTACCATAATTTTAAAAATATTCATAAAACACACTTATTTAAAATTTAAAAGATAATTTTTATACTGAGGAAAATATACCTATATTTTTTAAATAAAATTTTTAATATCACAGTGTACTCTCAAAATGTGTTTATTTTTAAAGTACTTATGATTTAGCTTAAATGCATTTCCAATTCACCTACATATAGTAGTATAAACTTACCTTGTACTTTAGATAGCTTAAAAGTTAAAATTATGCATCTGTAACATATATACACACACATCCACAGACACATATGTTTTGTTTTGTTTAGAGAGGTGGAGGAGATGGAAAGTTAGAAACATTAATCCGAGAGTGAAACATTGATTAGCTGCCTCCTGCAAAGAAGTATGTTGGTTTAAAGTTTTTGTAAAGTAAGAATCATTTGTTTGTGTTTATTAAAATATATTATCTATTTTCATATTCTTTCAAGTAGAGGCTCACATGTAATTGTGATGTATAATGATAAAGCACATACTCTACATAATAGTTTGAAATCATTTGCTAAAAAAACTGAATTTTTTAAGTTATCTTTTTTCCAAAGATGGAAATACCACTTGTTCATCAAATGTAAGATTGGTCCATAAACATATTAATGATCACTAAACCTCATAGTTTCAGTTTTTCTGTTTTAGTGAATTAAAATAATGTATGTTTTCTTTTAAACAGGTTGAATCAAGGGATTCCTTGAATAGTATAGCTCTGAAATTTGATACAACACCAAACGAACTTGTCCAGTTAAATAAATTATTCTCCCGAGCAGTTGTTACTGGACAGGTAGGTTTTTTTTTTTTTCTATGCATTTGTGTTTAGAAGCATTAAGTAGTAAGACAGAAAGTATTTATTGCAACATAGCTAAAAATCTAGAAAATTTAAGAATAATAACTTTATGCATGCTTTGAACAAATTAGATTGGCTCCAGAAGAGAAAAATTAACTGTCATTTATGTCCATACTAGAGGCCCAGAACACAAAATTTGTGCACTGGGCAGGGGATGTGTCCCTCAGCCCAACCTGCACCCTCATCAATCTCGGACATCCCTCTCACAGTCTAGGACTGCTCGCTCCCAACCTTTCACCTGCCTGCCTGCCTGATTGCCCCTAACTGCTTCTGCCCCTGCCAGCCTGATCACCCCATAACCACTCCTCGGCCAGCCTGATTGATGCCTAAATGTTCCCCTGCCAGCCTGATTGCCCCTAACTACCTTCCCCTGCTGTCCTGGTTGCCCCCAACTGCCCTCCCCTGCAGGCCTGGTCCCCCCCAACTGTCCTCCCCTGTAGGCCTGGTCCCCCCAACTGTCCTCCCCTGTAGGCCTAGTCCCCCCAACTTTCCTTCCCTGCAGGCCTTGTCCCTCCCAAATGCCCTTTCCTGTAGGCCTGGTCCTCCCCCACTGCCTTCCCCTGCAGATCTGGTCTTCTCCTAACTTCCCTCCCCTTTGGCCTCGGTCCCCCAACTGTCCTCCCCTGCAGGCCTGATCGCCCCCAACTGCCCTCCCCTGCAGGTCTGATCACTGCCAACTGCCCTCCCCTGCAGACCTTGTCCCTTTCAACTGCCCTCCCCTGCCGGCCATATTGTGTCCCCATTGGGGTGGCCATCTTATGTGTTGGAGTGGTGGTCAATTTGCATATTATTCTTTTATTATATACGATGATTATTTCTTAATAAATATTGAAAATAATTGTGATTTGTCTTTTAAATTTAGTATTAAAGAGCTTTTTAAATTATCCAAAGCAATAGATGATAAAAAAAAATTCAGAGATTTTTAAAGGTTAAGTTATCCTATCTCAGATACCTAGTTTCTTTTTAAAGAAGCAACCACAGTTGCTAATTTGTATCCCCTTCCAATAATATTCTAGCCCTTTAAAAATATTTAGTTAGTGCTCACCCAAGGATATTTTTCCATTGATTTTTAGAGAGTGGAAGGGAGGGAATGAGGGAGAGACAGACAGACAGACAGAGACTTTTGTGAGAAAGATAAACCCATTAGTTGCTTTCTGAACATGCCCACAACCAGGTTGGATTGAAGCTGCAACCCAGGTAATTGTTCTTGACCTATAATTGAACCCTCAACCCTTAGGTGCTCAGGCAGATGCTCTAAACCCTGAGTCACACTTGACAGGACTTGTAACCTTATTTTTTTATTTGACTTTGGCTTTGGAAAATATTTTATATAAGCACAGTACAATCTCAGATTTTTTTATGTCTGGAATGTTGTGCTCTTTTTATATACTTTGTAAGCTTTAGACTATTTCTATTGTTTTGCTATGCCCACTGTAGGGAACACTCCTGTACATATCTCTTATATATATATATATATATATATATATATATATATAGAGAGAGAGAGAGAGAGAGAGAGAGAGAGAGAGAGATTTCTTTAAGTCCTTGAGGTAAAATTGTGTAATAAAGAATATGTGCATTTAAAATTTTGCTAGCTATTGCAAAATTATTTTTTTAAGAGGAACTCCCATAGTATGTAATAATTGTTTCCCCACCCCATTCCTAATAGTATGTATGTATTATCAAACTTTTCTTAATTGAATTTAAATATGTGTTTTCTTATTTTATTAGAATTATTATGTTAAAAATACTATTTTAATCTGAAAATTTTTTTATTTTTTATTTGTTGCTAAAGGTCATGGTACTTGCTAATGAAACACTATCTGCCTGTTAATATTTCAGTTTGTGTGAATGTTTTGTTTTCTTCCAGGTTTTATATGTTCCTGATCCTGATTATGTTTCCAGTGTGGAGAGCTCTCCATCACTAAGCCCCATAAGTCCCCTGTCACCAACATCATCTGAGGCTGAATTTGATAAGGCCATTGTAAGTGTCCCTACTTTTCAAATATAGCTGTGAATAAATCTCTCTGTACATGTATATAACATCATGTTTTTAAATCCTACTTGACTATTATAGAATGAAATTTTACTTTTTATTTTTTACTTAAATTTGTAGATTCCAGTTTTTAAATTGAAACATCCTTCTTAAATTAATTTGCTATTAGTGGTGTTGGTCCAAGGATAGTTACCAGTTCACTCTTATAAATATGTAATAGCCCTAACTGGTTTGGCTCAGTGGATAGAGCGTAGGCCTGTGGACTGAAGGGTCCCAGGTTTGATTCTGGTCAAGGGCATGTACATTTGTATCGGGCATATCCCCAGTAGGGGGTTGTGCAGGAGGCAGCTGATCCTCTCTGATTGATGTTTCTAACTCTCTATCCCTCTCCCAGCCTCTCTGTAAAAAACCAATAAAATATATTTTAAAATATCATGTAGTAATTTAAGGAAGAAGTTTTGCCTAACAAATATTAGAATATCATGACAGGAAGTCCATGTTCAATTTTAAGTTATTTTACAAATGAATTTCAAGGAACCAAACTGTAAGGGCTTTGACCAGTGACTTCAGCTGTGAAAGAATTCACAACTGAGAGGAGATAGATGTAGAGAGGAAGTTTATTTTACCTTCCCAGGAAGGGCTAGTCCATTGCTAGTCAATACAAGGGCAAGAAATAAATGGTGGTCCCCCCTTTTAAAGTCTTGGCTTCAATTGCTCTGTAATAAGGAAGGGAGCAGGATTTGGGGGCTAAATATGAGCAGATATGGGGGGTGCAGTATCTTTGAAAAGTTTGTTTGTTTATTTTAGTGGGGGCAGATGTCCTAGGGAGGTGTCTTTATAGGCATCTTCACAAACCTGTAAAACATTCTTAGAGCAAAAGTTACAAGAGTTTGAAATGGGGGCAGTTTCTTTTTCTTTTTCTTTCTTTTTCTTTTTTTTTTTTTTTTTTAACTCTCCGGCATCGATTTCCCTAGAGCAGGGGTCGGCAAACTCATTAATTAACAGAGCCAAATATCAACAGTGCAAAGATTGAAATTTCTTTTGAGAGCCAGACTTTTTAAACCTAAACTATACATTGTTATTAACTTAATTAGGGTCCTCCTGAACTGGCCTTTGACCACTGCCCTAGAGTCATGAAAACCACAGGGAGGTGGGGTATGCGAGGTTGTAGCCTTGACAGAAGCTTATCTTGTCTTGCAGTTTGAACAGAGGTGCTGTTTGAATCAAAGTAGCTAACAATCTTGATGTTTTATTACCAGGTCCTTGTCATAAATTGTGGAAGGCCACAGCAAGGAAAAAGAGGCCTTTTTCTTGCCCTCACACTCACACAAACTTTATTTGATTTTGAATAAAATGTCTCTAAAAGGAATTATATTTTTGTGTCTTTCTATATAAATTAATACTAATTAGAATTTCCCATTTTTATAATGACCTAATGATTATGTTCCTATAGAAATGGTTCTCCTCGCCCTCCATTAAATGGCTTTACTTATGAGAGAATCTTCTCTGTTGATCTGCTGACTTTAGACCATTTTCTTCTCTGTCCCACTTTGCACTGTAAGTTTAGGATATCAAATGGCATATTAGTAATAAAACACAAATTACTCATTTTAATTTGCCAAAGAAGCTTAGAAAACATTCAAGTGAGCTTCGGAATCACTGCTTTAAGAATCAGAATCTATAAACAACAATTGGGTATGAATGACTATGAGATAAAAGTTGTATTCTCTAAGAAGTGCCTCTGGTTTCCAGAGGGAAGGTGATTGAGTAGATAAAGGGGAAAGGGGCTAAATGTATGGTGATAGAAGATGATTTAACTTTGGGTGGTGGGTACACAATGTAATATACAGGTCTTGTCTCATAGAAATGTACACTTAAAACCTGAATGATCTTATAAACCAATGTCACCCTAATACATTTAATTTAAAAAATATATAAACAACAGTGAAAAACAGCAACCTAGAAATACTGATACTTTGGATAATGTACATGTATATAAGTTTTAATGAGGTCTGATTAAGATTCCTCTGAACAATTTTGATCTTTATTTAAAAGAAATGTCCTCTCTAGTGCTATACTTTGAACGTTTGCCAAGCTAATCTCATGTATTCTTTTTGATAGAATTACATTGACCAATTGGGATTGCTGTAGATACTGAGTTGTAGAATTTGATACTTTGAGGGAACCTCAGATCATGTTGTTCGATGAAGTGTGTATTCACTTAAGGAAAGCTTTTGACAATGTACTTGACTATAGTTTGGTGAATAATACTGTTAACTAGTAGATAATGTCAGTTGGATTTGGGAATAACTGGGCAGTCAAACAAAATGTGTTGATAGCTTTGTTTCCTCTTGTAAGGGGCCTTCCAAAGGCTCTGTGTTGACTTTTTCTCCTTCACACATTTTATTTGAAAGGGAAGGTGTGTGGTATTGAACTCAGCCTCACTAGTTCACATGTTGGCAACATGGGTTTGCATCTCAGCTTCTTCATTTTACTCAATGGGCAAGTTGCAAAAATTAGCTAATCGTAAGTTTCCCTAAAAATTAAGGGAATAATAAAAAAGAAACATTTTTTTAAAAGGTACTTGATTATGGTCAAGAAAGGACAGACGGGGGGCTTCTAAGATGCTTACAGTGTGCTGTTGTTTGACCTGGTGCTGATACTAATCCATTTATCTGCACACATATGTTTTATGTACTTTTCTGCATACATGTTATATTTGACAATAAAAAAGCCTTATGAAGTTAGAAAAATTCAGGTAATAGTATGTACCTCATATGAGTGATTTGAAAATTAAATAAAATGGTCTGTATAATATACTTAAATATAACAAGTTTTCATAAATATCCATTAATATCATTAATATCTCTTATTTAACCATCTAACTTAAATTAACAAGCTGACTGCAATGTTATTAATTTGCATCATAAAATGCAAAAGTTGAGAATTTTGTTACCAAAGATGAGTAATTGAACAGTGTCATTCAATTGTTAAACATAATTCCAGATCATCAGGGAGATAATCCTTACCTTCCACCTCTTGGAGGGCAGAACAGAACATGATGGCTGGAGTTTGAATGATTCGTGATTAACGTTGTAAATTGTCTTATCGGGGCCAGCAGTTTAATTTAGGAGCAACTGAACGTGTTTGTGCGTGTGTGTGTGTGTGTGTGTGTGTGTGTGTGTGTGTGTGTGGTGTATTTATGTGTGGAGTTGGGAATACAAGAAATGTAGTTTGTCAGTTAATTCAACATTCTAATGATTCATCTACACTAATAAAAGAGAAACATGCAAATTGAACATCCCTCTGCTATGCCCACTAGCAGATAAGAGCGAGTATGCAAATTAACCCAACAAAGGTGGCAGTTAATTTGCATACTGGAGCTGAAGACTGAAGACAGCTTAGAAGGAAGCCAAGTGCTGCAGAGAAGGGACTGAAGCTGGGGAAAAGGGAGTGAGGCTTCGGAGACAGGAGGGAAGCGAGGCAGCCGAGACTGGAGGGATTTGCTCCCTTCTCTGCTTCACTCCAGCCACAGGAAGCCCTATTCTTACAGGAATCTTCCTGCAACTGGCCTCTAGTTTTATATGTCCCCCATTAAGAAACAAAACAAAAAACATTAAACAGCCGAAACCGGTTTGGCTCAGTGGATAGAGCGTTGGCCTGGGGACTGAAAGATCCGGGGTTTGATTCCTGTCAAGGGCATGTACCTTAGTTGCAGGCACATCCGTGGTAGGGGGCGTGCAAGAGGCAGCTGATCGATGGCTCTCTCTCATCGATGTTTCTAACTCTCTACTCTGTATCTCTCTCCCTTCCTCTCTGTAAAAAATCAATGAAATATATTTAAAAAACAAAACAAACAAACAAACAAAAAAACATTAAACATGTAAGCGTAAGCTGTGTTAAAAATCTTCAATGGCCAGGACCGGTTTGGCTCAATGGATGGAGCATCAGCTTGGGACTGAAGGGCCCAGGTTCCATTCCGGTCAAGGGCATGTACCTTGGTTGCGGGGTGTGCAAGAGGCAGCTGATCGATGACTCTCTCTCATTGATGTTTCTAACTCTATCTCTCTCCCTTCCTCTCTGTACAAAAATCAATAAAAAATATATATTTTTTAAAAATCTTCAATGAATGTGAAAACAGTGCCATTCTTACCTATATTTTTTACATAACATTTTGGACTGACCTCTAGAATATGATAAGAAGGAAAACATTTATTGAGGGAAGCTATTCATTTGGCTTTAATAATTTGCTTATTTTTATTTAGTTCTCTGAAGTGCCTTTTATTTATTTTATTTATTTTTTTTTTTTTATTAAGAATCCTGATGAAGTGCACCCGAAAGAAACAACTCCCTCGTCTACATTTACTGGTATTCGACCTGCACGAGTTGTATCTTCAACTTCTGAAGAGGAAGAAGCATTTACTGAGAAGTTTCTAAAAATTAACTGCAAATATATTACCAGAGGCAAGGTAACAAATCATACCTTAAATCACCAACATCAGCAAATGCTTGAATATTTTTTTGAAATATTAGTGGAACTACTAGTTTGAGTTAGTGTGGCTTCTGCTTATAACAATCTGGTAATCTGTTACAAATCATTAAAGCCAATGGCATACATAAACATACTACAAAAAGCTGATATAAAATGACTATTCCTGTGCACTCTGATGTGCTAATCTTTGCAGAGGTAGTATGATATTCAAATAGGAAGATATACTATTTGCCAAAATTTGTTTTGGTATTTTAATTTTATCAACTCAAAATAGGTGGTCCTATTCCTTCTTCACAGAAAAAAATTATATATCAGAAAAGATTAATGAGTCCAAGGATTCTCTGTCATGGCCAGAATTCAAATCGAGTTTGAATCTCTTTTATGTACCACACCTTGCTGCTTTACACAGCAAAGAATATTGTGTCAGTAGAAGGAATATAGTAAATTAACACAGAGTTGGAAAATAAACTCCCAAGTATTGCTTAGCAAGTAACTATGATACCAACTTAAAAAATTATGACTGCCTTATAGTCAAAATTAATAAATTATGAATATTTGAAATACAGGTGTTCAGTTCTATAAATTTTTTTCTATAAACTGTTTTAACTGGACCTTCATTCTCAATATTTTGTATTATTATTTTCATTTGTTACTAATATTTTCTATTTCTTTTTTGGCCCATGGAATATAAGAGTGTTTTAGTTTGTAAACATTAGGAGATTTAAAAAATACCTTTTCTTTTGAGTTCTGATGTTATTCCATGTAGTTAGGTAACACAGTACTTTTTAAAGACTTAATTTAAGACTTATTTTATGGTCCAGAATGTGATATGTCTTGCACTTGAAAACAATGTGTATCTGCTCTTATTGGGAGGACTATTCCATAAATGTCAATTAATTCAAGTTAAGTAACAGTGTTGTCCTTCTGCATCCTTATTGATTTTCTGTCTATTCTATCAATTATTGACAGGAGGATGTTGAAATGCCCCATGGTAATTGTATATTTTCTATTTCTCCCTTTGTTTCTGTTTTTGTTAGGTATATTTTGAAACTTTCAAATGTTTAAGATTCTTATATTGTCTTGATGAATTGACTTGTTCATTCTTGGTAATATTCTTGCCATGAAATCTACTTTGATCAATACTTATAGTCACTTCATATTCCTTTTGATTAATGTTACATGGTTTATCTCTTTTGTTGTTTTACTTTTGACCTATGTCTTTATATTTAAAATGGGTTTCCATGCTTTACTCAAGAGGGAGGGCTTACATTCGAATTCACTCTTTGTATTGTACATTCTGTGGGTTTTAACAACATGTATAGTGACATCCACCCACCATTACAATATCATAGAGAATAGTTTCATTGCCCTAAAAATTCTCTTTGCTCTGCCTATTCATTCTTCCCACTCAACCCCTGGAAACTGCTGATCTTACTGTCTTAATAGTTTTGCTCTTCAGAGTGTCATATAGTTGGAATCATACAGTATAATTGTATGATTTCAAGTTGTCTTCTTTCACTTAGCAATATGCATTTAAGAGTTCTGCCTTTAGTGATTAGTCCTGCCTTTAGTGATTAGCTTTTTTAAAAAATTGATGAATAATAATTCACTCTCTGAATATTATGCATTCACTGACTGAAGGACATCTTGTTTCCAAATTTGGGTACTTATGAAACTGCTGCTAGAAACATTCACATGCATATTCTCTGTGTAGACATAAGCTTTTACTTCACTCGAGTAAGGAGTGCTATTGTATATCTAGATCATAATATGTTAAGATTATTTTTAGCTTTGTAAGAAACTCCCAAAATGTCTTCCAAAGTGGTTGTATCATTTTGGTTTTGTAACAGCAATCAATAAAAGCTGCTGTTGCTCCGCATCTTCACTAGCATTCATTGTTGTCAGTGTTATTGAATTGTTAGCCATACTAAATGGTCTTTAGTAGTAAGTCATTGTTTTCACTTGCATTTTCCTAATGACTTATAATATTGAGCATATTTTCATAAGTTTATTTGCTATCCTAAATCTTTGGCAATTTATTTGTGTTTGAAAGATCTTTTTATTGGGCATAGAATTTTAGGTTGACAGGTTTTTATCTTTTCTCAGAATTTTGAAGTGCTTCTTTCAGAACTCACTGTTTTCTGGCCTGCATTGTTTCTAAAAAGAAAGAATCTTCCGTAATGTTAGCTTGAGTTGGTATGATCCAGGAATACAAATTGACGTGTCTGAATCTATTTAAAACATTAATCAGCCGAAACTGGTTTGGCTCAATAGATTGAGCATCAGCCTGTGGACTGAAGGGTCCCAGGTTCGATTCTAGTCAAGGGCATGTACCTTGGTTGCAGTCACATCCCTGGTCGTGCAAGAGGCAGCTGATTGATGACTCTCTCTCATCAATGTTTCTAACTCTCTTTCTCCCTTCCTCTCTGTAAAAAAAATCAATAAAATATATTTTAAAAATAAATAAAATAGTAATCAAAAGATAAGTAGACTGTGGTTTATATGAAACTACTTATTTACGTGGCCCATGGTCTGTCTGAACTAAAAGAAATGCTATTCATATTTTTAGACTCATTCCCTTTCTCCCACCAAAATGGTTTTATGTTCTTTACATTAAGCCAGGTAAATTTACAGAGCTGAGTATGAAGTTGGAAGGAGGGTGTGATACCAAATCAAACAGGATTAGTGTTGTTGTTATTGTTTTAATCTTTATTGTTGAATTTCAGATGTCCTTCCTTCCCCCCTCTTAGAAGGCGGGATGCCACCGCATCCCAGCCCTTCACCATCCTATTGTCATTGTCCACAGATAATGGGTAATGCATGTATGCATATAAGTTCTTTGGTTAATCTCTTCCTGTCCCTCTACACCCCTGTCCTATGAGATTCATCAGTCTGTTCCATGTTTCTCTGCCTCTGGTTCTATTTTACTCATCAGTTTATTTCATTCATTAGATTCCTTGTTCATTTATTTTGACTTTTAGATTCAATTGTTGATAGATATGCATTGATTTCCATTTTATTGTTCATACATTTTATTTTTATTTCTTTTTCTTCTGCTAGGGAAAACACTTCAACATTTCATGTAATACTAGTTTGATGGTGATGAACTAACTCCTTTAGTTTTTCTTTGTCTGGGAAGCTCTTTATCTGTCCTTCAATTCTAAATGATAGCTTTGCTGGGTAGAGTAATCTTGGTTGTAGGTCCTTGCTTTTCATCTCTGAATATTTCTTGCCTCTCCCTTCTGGTCTAAAAAGCTTCTGTTGAGAAATCAGCTGATGATTGTATGAGTACTCCCTTGTAGGTAACTAACTGCTTTTCTCTTGTTGCTTTTAAGATTCTGTCTTTGACCTTTAATCTTTTTCATTTTAATTTAATGTGTTTTGGTGTAGGCCTCTTTGGATTCATCTTGTTTGAGACTCTGAGCTTCCTGGACTTGTGAGTCTATTTCTTTCACCAGGTAGGGGACATTTTCTATAAATTTTTTTTCCAAATAGGTTTTCGATTTTTTGCTCCCTTTCTTCTTCTTCTGGCACCCCCATGATGCAAATATTGGTACACTTGAAGTTGTCCCAGAGGCTCCTTACACTATCTTCATATTTTTTAATATTTTTCCTTTTTTTCTGTTCTGATTTGGGTGTTCTTTGCTTCCTCAAATTCCAAATCAATGATTTGATTCTTGGCATCCTATACTCTACTGTTAATCACCTCTAAATTACTCTTCATTTCAGTTAGTATAGCCTTCATTCTGACTGGCCATTTTTTATGTCATTGATGTTTTCACTAAGTTCCTGGATCATCCTTTGTAACTATTGTTTTGAACAGGGGTGGGGAAGGCATGCGAAATCATTTGGTCTGGCCCTGCCAAAGCATTACGGGTGAGTTCATTAAATGTTTGACCAAAAATAGCAGGATAATAAAGTGGATAATTTTGTATAGCCCACGGATGATGTTATAAATATCTCAATGGCCCTCGAAGCAAAAGGTTCCTCATCCCTGGTTTTGAACTCTGTACCTGGTCCTTTTGCTTGTTTCTATTTATTTATTTTTCTGGAGATTACTTCTGTCCTTTCATTTGTGACATATTTCCTTGTCTCCGCATTTTGGCTGCTTCCTTGTGTTTGTTTCTATGTATTAGGTAGAGATGCTATGTCTCCTGGAGCTAGAGTGGCTTTGTGTAGTAGGTATCTTGTAGGGCCCAGTGGCTCAGCCCCCTAGTCATCTGAGCTGAACCCTCTAGGTGTGCCATTGTGTGGGCTATGTGCACTGTCCTGTTTTAGTTGATCCTTGATTTGCTGTTGGCAATACTGGGAGGGATTGACCCCTAGGCCAATCGGCTGTGAGGACCAGTTGCGACCACAGCAGAAGAGCTGTTGTGTAGAAGATGCCCCTATGGAGCAAGACTTGCATCATTTGGGCTTTGGTACTCACTGAGTCCATCACCCCTTAAGAGTGTTGCTCATGGATATGGTAGCGTTGTAATCTGGCATGGTCTGAAGCTCATCACCTGGTGCACTGGCTCCTGGGAGGTGCAAAGTCATTTACTGCCTCTGCTCTACCTGGGGCCACCCAGCAAGAGCTACAGAGAGATCTGCAGATGGCTGCTACTTGTGTGGGGCTTGCAGGTGTCCAGGAGAAGTCAAGCTGTGAACCTTGGCAGGCAATTGCTAGTTCCAGGCCTAGAGCCACTTATTGAGAAATATGGGGCACACTGAGGTTAGATGCTGCTTGTTTGAGAGATTTTAGGACAGGCCGTTCATATGGATTAGCCATTGCAAACAGCTTGGGAGGGGCTATAAAATCGGTGAGGTAGAGTCTCATGGAATCACCAGGGTATGGTGAATAGTGTGAGCCAGGTCGATGGAGACACAGATGTGGCTACTGCCTGTAAGCTCTGTGATGAGGGAGATCTCAGCCAAGGAACAATGACCTCTGCCAACACTTTTGTCTGGGAGAAAACTGTCTCCCAGTTCTTGCCCTAATGCCAGATAATTTAGTTCCTCCCCATATGTCCCTGGATCCTTTCAAGTTGCTGCCTTAGTGCTGGAGCTCAAAGGAAGTGAGTCTGAATAAGTCTGTGTTTGGGCTCTTTAAGAGTACCTGCCTGGGACTCCTGCATCTCTGTGTTACTCAGCCACAATCCCTGCTGGTTTTTACAGCCCTAGTTACGGAGACATTTCTTCCTGGCACTGGAAACTTGGGCTGGGGCTTTGTGTGGGACTAGAACCCCTTTGCTCCTTGCAGGGAACTCTGCAGCCAAAATATCCCTCCCAATTAAAAACAGACCACTTGTGAGTGTAGGGCTAATTGGTTCCTCACCTCTGCCCCTCCTACCAGTCTCAGTGTGGCTTCTGTTTTAATTCTCTAGTTGTAGGGCTTCCATTCAGTTGGATTGTAGGCAATTCTGAATTATGGTTCTTCTATGGTTTAATTGTAATTTTGATGTGGTTGTGGGAAGAGACAAATACCACATTTACCCTATTCCATCATCTTGATCCTCCTCAGGATCTAAGTTTTTCTTTTCCTTAATAGCTTTAGAAAAAAAACAACTTTGAAGTAACTATTCATTTTATTTTTAGAATTCTATCTGGCTCTTCATTTTTACACTTACAGAGTAGAATATAGTGGAATGGGAATTTTAAAAAATGGGATCAAAGTATTAGGTCTAGTAATAATTAATGTCGTTTTCTAATACTTTTTTAAATCGAATTTATTTAAACAATACAACAAAATTTAATCAACAATATAGTTGCCGTTGTTTTCTACTACTTGTGCCCAACGCTCAGGAAGCATTTTAATCCCTCTGTTGTAAAATTCTTGTGATTTTGATGCAAAAAATTCGGTCAATGCATTTTTGAGGCATTCTTCATTATTAAATTTTTTTCCAAGAAGAAAGTTTTGCAAAGAATGAAACAAATGGTAATCAGAAGGGGCAATATCAGGAGAATATGCAGGTTGAGGGAGAACTTCCCATTCCAACTGGCACAGTTTTTCAGCAGTGATTCTTGCAGTATGTGGTCGTGCGTTATCGTGGTGAAGAATTACGCCCTTCCGATTAATCAGCGCGGGTTCTTTTTCTCTTAAAGCTTGGGCTAACCTTTCCAATTGGGCACTATACACTGCACTTGTAATGGTTTGGTTAGATGGTAAAAGTTCATAATGAAGAATTCCTTTAAAATTCCACCAAACACACATCACTTTTTTCGCATGCAAGTCAGGTTTTGGCGTGGGCTGCGGAGCCTCATTTTTGTCCAACCATTGAGGCCGCCTTTTCAAATTAACATACAGCACCCATTTTTCATCTCCGGTAACAATTTGCTCTAAAAACGGCAAACGGTTTTGACGAGAGAGGAGCCAACTGCAAATTGTGACTCTTTGATTACGGTTGTTGTCGGTCAACTCATGAGGAACCCATTTTCCAAACTTTTGGACTTTGCCAAGTGCACGCAATTGATTGGAAATTGTTTTTTGTGAACAATTTAAAGTTGTCACAAGCTCTTGTTGGGTAATTTGAGGATTTTGCACCAAAAGAGCTTGAAGAGCTTCTTGATCAAAATTGGACACACGGCCTTGACCACTCTTGTCATCTAACGAAAAATTTCCCTCGCGAAATTTCTCAAACCAACGCTGGCATTTTCTGGCGCTAACTGCATCTTGACCAAGAGCACTACAGATGTTTTTTGCAGCCTCACTTGCTTTTCTTCCTAATTGGAACTCGTAAAGCATGCAGTGCTGAATATGCTCTTCATCCGCCATCTTCTTAGCCCTAGTTTTGCAACAAAAACCAAACCAAACACAAACTTTTTCAAGCAAAACTTGTTAATTGCACTTCACACGTTCTGTAGATACCACGTGTTTGAAGGTTATGTCAATACAAGTCAACGCCAAGCAAGATTTTAAACGAATGTTTAAAAACGACATTAATTATTACTAGACCCGATATATTTAGCAGTTGAATTAGAGTGATTATATAGTTTGTTATGTAAATGTGGAAGGTGTATAGAATAAGCACAGCCTGCCTAGATTTTGAATCTTGGTTCTACCGCTTATTAGGGAGCTGTAGTCATGTATTATTTAGACTTTCTCAACCTTAGTTTCCTCATGTATACTCATCTCAGAGCTTAGTATAATGATCAAATGAACAATAATGTATAAAAAGCATGATACATATAAAACATTCAGTACATTAGCTAATATTAGTGGGATCAGCTTCTTATGAATTTTAGTTTGCTCCTTGTAAAATAAGAGGGTTGGACTCTTCATATTACCATCATTAATTGTATGAATATGTTTAAAAATTCATAGTTTTCATAATTAAATTTAAAATGATTACTGGTTATCTTGGAGGTCATTTAAATTACCTAATTTTAGAGATTAAAACACTGAGGCCCAGAGGCTTTGCTTGCCCAAGGTCATATGCCTAGGTACATCAGAGTCAAGTGAAATTGGTTTAAAAATATATATATATTTTAAAAGGGATTTGCTATATATATATATATATATATATATATATATATATATATATACACATACATACACACACACATACACATATATTGGATTGAATTGTCAACATTATTTATGAAATCTGCATTGTGTGTACATAAAAGTATGTTTGGTACTCTAGTGAGGAACAGCGCAAGAAGCAGTACAGTAATAAACATAAAGCATGGCTCAGGCCTCACAGGAGTTTACAATCCCTTCTTCCATCACTGAAGTTATCTTGCTGATATAGCTCAGTATTTTACTGAGGCTGCAAAGGTTATACCTGACTTGCTTGTTTGAGGGTGAATATAATATTCTTTGTAGTTTTCCTCTGCTATAGAGGAGCACTTACTGGGAAAATTTGTGCTTTATTAACATATCCATGAGAATGCCTTAGTGCTTGAATGTACTGCTTTTCTGTATAATAGATGAACTAATAACAGGAGAAAATTAGTAAAAATAGCTAGAATACTTTTTGAAAATTTAAGTTTCAACGATTAAACATTATTTTCTTTTTACCTTAGGGCACAGTCAGTGGTGTGCTCCTAATTACACCAAATAATATAATGTTTGATCCACATAAATCTGACCCCTTGGTTCAAGAGAATGGCTGTGAGGAATATGGGATCATGTGTCCAATGGAAGAGGTGATGTCAGCTGCAATGTACACAGAAATTTTGGATAGCAAAATAAAGGAATCCTTACCCATGTAAGAGTGTTTTTTATACCCCTTTGCAATTTTATTGCATTTAGATAATTGATTGACCTTCATCTAATACTCTTTAAGTATTTTTATTAGTTTTATTTTAGTTACTTTTCATTTTCTTAGTAATTAAAAAATATATACTGGTATATGTAATGTTGAAAGGTTTCTTCTCAATGCACTTAAGAATAGTTAAGAGTGTTTTAGGTCTATATTTTTATATTTGGTCAGAAAGCCAGATATTTCAAAATAACCTTTAGTACTCATTTAATACCATGTATACCAGCTTTTTTTTTTTTTTTTAAATTCAGGCATACCATTCAGAATTCTGAATTATCTATGAGTCATTTAACATAATAAGTAATCAAGGGTAGCTTTCCAATTTTTCTACTCTTTATCTGTAAAATTGGGGGTGGGATTTGGGGAGATCACATGAGCAAAGACCTGACATTGCTACAACCAGAGTAGCCTGTTTTTTTAGTTACTGATTTATATGTTTATATCCATCTTTCTTAGAAAAGTATGAAATATAGGGGAGAAGATCCACAATTGCACAATTAAAAGAGTTAACCATGGAATGTGTGGTTACCTGTTTGTGATTCAGGTAACATAGGTCTGAGACTACAGGTCAGCACAATCTTTGTACATAATGTGCTTGATCAAAGGAATGACTAGAGAAAAGGGAGGAATAAGAAATAAAAAGAAAAGGTAAAAGGTAGGTATATAAAAGAAAGAAAGAAGTAGAAAGGAAAAAAAAATTGATACGTATTCACAAAGAATTCCCCCATTCCTCCATACTGATTGTCAATAGTTTAAAAACTGGCCTCACTTTAACTGATAATGAGATATATATCCCAGTATTAGCCCACAGGAATGCTGAATGCTGTTGTAATATTAACATTATGGGATAGAACTACTTACAAAGGAGGAGGAGAACAAATTGTTTCTGTTTCTGAGGCAACCTGCATGAGTTTGTTATGATACCTGTGGAGAATAAAGTTTCTTATTTTAAAAAATCTTCATTATAACTTCCACTCAATAGATATTTTTCATGGTAGACTCATCTTTAGAGATGCAGATAATTCATATGATATTCTCTAATGTCAGTTATTTTTATAAATAATTCAAATAATAGTTCAGCAAATAACCATTGGAGTAGGTGGAGGGATAAGACAAAAGTGAAGGATTAGATTTTAAAAAAAATAAAGATTATCTATGTATATATTGTATATATTGTCAGTTATTGCTAAGATTAACTTCCTGCTGTCCTGCTTTTCCATTTGTATTATGATATTTTGTGATTCTCTTATGCTGAATGATTCATAACTATTCTATAAGATTGCCATAGAGCTTCTCTTGCATAACACTTTTATCATTCATAATGTCATGTGGAAAAACCATGCATTTGATCTAAACATATTTTTTATTTCTTAAAAAAGAAATATTATTTAATTCTCCCTTATTAATTTATTAAAAACAATATTTGTGACAAGTCATATAAATGAAGTTGTTTTTTCAGGGTAGTGTCATGGCAAAAATGAGATATAAGATTTTATTTTCTTTTGTTTTAAATTGCTTGGGAAATTGAATTTAAGGTATGTTCTGGAACTATATTAAGCAGTAAAAGGACATTGGCATTAATAAATATTTAGTATTTTGGCATGTGAACTCTGAAGATTACAGCACGTATATAAGTATAATATATGACCTGTTTGGTTTGTTCATTATCTTTTATTAAATGTACATGTACAGTTTCCCAAAATTTTGCCAACTTCTAAGACCCTATATAGTGTGGGGCAAAAGTAGGTTTACAGTTGTTCATATGGAAAATAATACAATAATTAATAATAATACAAAAATTAACTTGTTTCGAGTACTCAAAACTACAAATCTAACTTCTGCCTCGTCCTACGTGCAGTTTGAATGAATCACCAGTAGATGACACTGTTACATATTTTATAGCACAAGTTAAATGCTTGTGTTTTTTAAGATGAAATTCAAGATGCAGAACTATGAACTAAACTTCGACTAATTAATGCTTTTAGTAAAAAAAAATTTCCATCCTTGTTATAAAAATCATGGATACTCATTATAGAAAATTTGAAAATTACCAAAAAGTAGAATAAGAGGAAAGGAAAGAAGTTAACTCAGCTTCACCATCCAGAGATAGCCAATTATTTTTGTGTTGAATTACTTTTCAGTCTTTTTTATTTTCAAACTTTCATAAATGTTAATAGTTTTTCCACTAAGAACTCATGCGGTTTCTTTTCTTTTTCTTTTTAGTTTGAATTTAGCGACTTCATTATTAGCTCTATGACCTTGCCCCAGAAATTCACTGCCTCAGTTTTCACATCAGTAAAAAGTTCTGCCTTGCTGAGATTATAGCCAGGATTAAGAGAGATGGGATGTCAGAGGACTTAATAACATGCTATAAAATGTAAAATTTATTTTTCTGACCTGGGTATTGTTGAGTCTTTTTTTAGGTATTAAAAATTTTTTTTCTGCAAAGCTAATTTTTGCAACTGAAGTAATTATTTTTAACTGTCATTTTTAATTGCTGACTTGTATTTCATGCTTTAAATGTTTGCCCTACCTCTTTCCAGAACGTAGACTAACCTTTGAACATTACTGCTTACATATACAATGCCATTAAACTTGAAAATCTAGATGTAACTATAAACCATTTAGCCATCTAATATCTAACCCCTTTAATTAAACAAATTCCCTTAGGGTTGTCATTGAGTTGTTTCTGATAGCCTGAAGAATTCGTGAATACTTTTGCCTCAGTTCTACTCAGGTTGGCTTTGAGCTTTGCTTTTGAGCTCTATATTTTAGCTTAATCTCTACTTAAAAGTAAAATAAGCACTGCATGTGTGCCCATGTGTGTAGGATCAGTCAATGTGTTACTTTGTTAAGATATTTAAGTTTTAATAAAAATTTTACCTAAGCTTATTTTTCATATTTTATCAGTGAATAAATTTTAATTTAGAATTATAGCTTCACCCAAAACTTTTATCATCATCTTCTCTTCAGGTAGATTAATTTGGGAAATGTTGCATTAATGTTTTCCATATCTTTACTAATGTTAGTAAAGATGCAAAAGCTTTACTAACACTTTGTCTATATGAATAAATCAAAATTTTTGATATGCTGTTTTATATCAGAAAGATGTATGCTGCATCTTTTTGTAAAAGCCTTTTTGGAATATTAATTTAGTGGTAAGTTTGTGGACAATGAAAGACTACAATTTAAAAAGTCTAATAACGTAATTTTGTTCACTGACAGAGAAATGGATCAGTTATCAGGAAGGGACTTCTGCCACTTAAAGAAAATGACAAGAAGTAATACTGATGAAACAGACTCAAGAATCCGAGATGTGGTTAATGATAGTGCCAGCACTGCTCCCAGGAGAATGGAGGAGTCCCTTTCTGAAGACGTGTTCACAGAATCAGAACTTTCTCCGGTTCGGGGGGAGCTTGTCTCTTCAGATGAGCTGCGACAAGGTAAATCGTCCGGTGCATCATCAGAGTCTGTGCAGACTGTCAATCCGAGTGGAATAGAATATTCGACACTCATATCAGAATCTACTACTCCTTCAGCTACTCCTGATCAGTTAAAATCTGATTCTGGACATTCTACAAATGAAGTTGGGGCTCTTTCTCTTAAAACTGATTTAAGTAATCTCAAAATGGCCACTAAAGAAGGAGATCGGGCAACAGATAATGTTCAAGAAATATCAGACCCTAAAGAAGGAAGCATAAATATTAAAGGTAATGCAGACCAGGATTTTCTTAACGAGACATCTCTGCACCAAGAAGTGGATGAAAAAGAAAGTATGCCTTGTGGGGAAGCAACAGAATTCAAACAAAAGCAAACTGTCACAGGAGATCAAGGGAAGGAGCAAAATCAGGACTCGGAGACAGAGGTGGAAGAGCTCCGGAAGCTCTGGAAAACCCATACTATGCAAGAAACTAAACAGCAGAGGGACAATATTCAACAGGTATCACAAAAGGAAGTTAAGCATAAAATAGCAACAGTTGATACAGAAGGTAAGGGATAAAAGAGTATATAGAATTCATATTATTTGCATATTGTTTCCTCTTTCCTTGGTGACTCAAAAGCTGCTATTTCTTAGGCTACTCTGAAGGATAATCTAGTGGTCCTTGGCTGATGTTTCTCTGGGGACAAGTATAATATTCTTTGGTTTCTACTCCTTTTGACACTTCTTACTCCACAGTGGATTATACATAAATGAGCATTTCCCTCATCATGTTTAAACATTCCCAACTCACCATGTTCTATTTTTAAATAATTTATTTCTTGAAAATGTACACAAGCTCTGTAATACCTTTGATTTCTCAATTTTTTTCCTTTTAGTTCTTGGTATGTTGTCTCATTAAAACATATTTTTTTCATTGCATATATAATATCCTAATTGCAATTTGTAATTGACAATGTTGTAATCCCTTCTTTTAAAAACTATGATTAGACATAAAAATCTAATTTTTTAAATTCCTCCAAGTATACAGAAGTTCTATCCTTGTCTGAGTAAGTGTGTTTTACAAAGCAGCACTAAAGGTAAATTAAAGCACCACTTTCATTTTCAGTTTTGTATTGGGGAACTGTTTACTTATGAAAATTATAAAAATAGAAATTTATTTTTTTATATACAGTGCTTCTGCTTAATAGGTTAATGGAGTACAGCTCAGATATCTTAGGTAACATTTCTTATAGTCTGTTGGAATATTGATCCCAGGCCAGTCAAATTTATATATAAACTTTCACTTTTTTTAAATCAAATTTTTTATTGTTAAAATATGCATAAACTGAAATTTTCCATTTTGACCATTTGTAAAATTCAGTGGCACTAAGTACATTCACATTATAGTAGAACTATCACCACCATCCATTTCCAAAGTGTTTTCATCTTCCCAAACTAAAACTCCACCCATTAAACAAAAACTCCTATATCCCACTCTTCCCAACCCCTGACAACCACCATTCTACTTTTGTCTCTAGATACCTGATACAAGTGGAATCATATATTTGTCCTTTTGTGTGTGGTTTATTTCCCTTACATAATGCCTTCAAGTTTCATCTATGTTATAGCATGTGTCAGAATTTCCTTCCTTTTCAAAATTCTATAATATTCCATAAATACACAATATGTTTTCTTTATCTGTTTATTCATTAATGGACATTTGGGTGGTTCTAGCCTTTTGTGAATAGTGCTGCTATAAACATTGGAGTACAAATATCTGTTTGCGGTCCTCCTTTCAATTTGGGGGAAGGGGGGATAATATACCCAAAAGTGGATTTGCTGGATTCTATGGTAATTCTGTTTAATTTTTTGAGGAACTGCCAAACTGTTTTACACAGTGGCTGTACCATTTTACATTTCTTTATAGATAGATAGATAGATAGATAGATAGATAGATAGATATAGATATAGATTTTGTAAAGAGAGGAAGAGAGAGAGATAGAGAGTTAGAAACATCGATGAAAGAGAGTCATCGATCAGCTGCCTCTTGCACACCCCCTACTGGGGATATGCCTGCAACCAAGGTACATGCCCTTGACCGGAATCGAACCTGGGACCCTTCAGTCCCCAAGCCGACGCTCTATCCATTGAGCCAAACCGGTCTCAGCTGTACCATTTTACATTTCTACAAGCAATGCACAACCGTTTAGTTTTTAAAATACTGAATTATCCTTCTGTTTTCTTATATACCCTGAAGGAGAATTACGTTAAGTAGATGTTAAGAAACCCATTTACTCAAAGTAAATTCTATAAAAGAGTGAATATCTCTCCTTTTGTAATATTTTCCCTTTATTCAGAACTAGTGAATGTTCTTAAATGTGATTAAACAAAGATATATAGGGAGTTTTTACAAAACTTATAAAAATTACCAAGAATTAATTACCTTAATCATTATTAGCATTTGGTATATTTAGCTTTTATCTTTGGTGTGTATGTATATATTCATACATTACATATACAACTTTGATATTATTTGTTTGTATCTATACATATATTTTTATATAAAATTAGGATTATAATGTATGTAGTGTTGTATTTTCCTTTTTTCATTCACCGTTTTATGTCATAAATGTTTTCCCATATCAATCATTCTTTGAAAACATGGTTTTTAATGACCTAATATAACCATTTTCATGTTGTTAAGACATTCCATTGTTATTAGCAATTCCTATTGTTAAGATACTTTTTTATCTTTGTTCAGGCAGAAAAGAATGCTGGCATGAATATCTTTATTCATAGATTTGTGTCTGATAGTTGCCTTATATTAGAATCTTTGAAAAATGTGAAATAATGGATTCTGTTTAAACCAATATGTGATATATTACTTTCATTGTAGTGTGTTTGTTGGGGTGCAAGGGTTGATAGGGACAGCCTCTAATATTACAAAATACTGAAAAAAAAAGTTGGAAGGTATATTCAGATAGGTATCTTGATACATTTGACTTTTTCCTTTTTTGGGGGAGGGGGTGGTGTCAAATTAAGTAATTAATTTTAAGTAATTTAAGTTTCTATAATTGGGAAATATTCAAAGTTTCTGACCTCTTAAAGACCTCTATATATATAAAAGCCCAGTAAACCGGCCAGTAGCTATGACACACAATGACCATCAGCGGGCAGAAACTCAACACACAGGCATGGAAACATGGAACAAGACTGATGAATCTCAGAGGGGAAGAGAGAGAGAGGAGGGCGGGAAGAGATTAACCAAAGATCTTATATGCATACTAGAGGCCCGGTGCATGGATTCCTGCACTGGTGGCATCCCCTTGGCCTGGCCTGTGAGGATCAAAACCAGTTCCCCAAGAGACCCCACCAGTATATGAATCCATGCACCGGGCCTCTTGTAATATAATAGTAATATAATAAAACTGGAATGTAACTGCAAAAAAATGGTAAAGTTCATTTTTAATGATATTCGTGAATGCTTGGCCTCAGATTTTGTGTCTTCACAATGTTACACAAAAAAAGCCATGACTAGTACCCAGATTTCCTAAGTATAATCAAGTATTTCCTCCATACTATGATGCTTTCCTAAACTCATTAATGTCAAACCCCTAATGTACCTTATGTCCGAATCTCTGGTAGGGAGAGTTAATGACAATTCAGGCTTAATAAACTGTCCAAACCAATGCTGAATTTAGCATATTGTTGGTTGTTTTTATCACACCTTAATATGTATGTAAAAAGTTTCTTTAGAAACTTTTCATTTTTTGTCTTTAACAAACATACAAACTTATTTAATTGTTTTTTCTATAATAGAAGGCTGATAGGGAATGTGCAAAATATTATATTTGTATAATCAAGTAATTTAGTAGAGTTGTTAACAAACAAAAATTTAATAAGAGTTCCTGAAGCTGTCCCATTTTTTTCCTGATACCCTTAGACATAATTTTAGTTTCTAATCTGACTGTTGGTTCATTAGACTTGTTGTACCTATACTTTTGATTGAAAATAGTACAAATTGAGAGAATTAACTTAAAAAGTATAAATGAATTAAAGTGTTATTCTCTGTCATAAGTTTGCAGATACACATTATTCTAAATTATTTAAGCATGGTGTATAAGAATTGAATAAAACTGTTTGTGTCTCAACTTTAGGTTCTTTACTTTTAAAAGAAAAGAGAAGGCATCAGTTACATAAGTTCTTTCGTCTCAGAGTTGGAAAACCAATGAGGAAAACATTTGTATCCCAAGCAAGTGCAACAATGCAACAGTATGCACAGAGAGATAAGAAACATGAATATTGGTTTGCTGTGCCACAAGAAAGGTAAACAAACAACAACTATAGTTTAAAATGTTATTGAGGTCCTTTGAATTAAAATGATTTGGAATGTCACTTAACACCAGTAACAAAGTACTTTTGAAACATATAGTTTATGATTAAAACCTGACATTAAATCTATTCAAAATAATTTAGCTCCTATTTTGTACTTTTAATATACTCCATTTTAACTGTTTTTCTTTTTTTGTGGTTTAATGCAAAAAAATATGAATGTATAGCTAGTTTTAATAGTAAGGAAATTTACTTAAAATGTCTTAGAGCAAGAAGGTTCATCAAAATACTAACTGGTATGGCCCCTACCTCATTGAAGGTAAGGATGTATAATTCCTTTTTAAAAACCTTCTCAAATACTTACTGAATGCCTTTAGTTTCTAAAGGGGTGTGATCTTCAAACTATTTTTTGTATTTCCTACCCAATAAATTTTTTTCTCATAAGTTTAACCAATTGTAAAGGATGTCTCATCAGTATGTTATAAATATTGATATTGTATTTTATTGTTTAGAGATATGTTTTTATTGATTTCAGAGAGAGAAAATGAGGAAAGAGGGAGAGAGAGAAACATCAATGATAAGAAAGAATCGTCAATCAGCTGCCTCTTGCACCCCCTGTACTAGGGATCAGCCCAGGCATGTGCTCTGACCAGGAATTGAACTGAGACCTCTGCTTCATGGGTCAGCGCTCAAACATTGAGTCACACCGGCTGCCAATATGGACATTTAAAAATAAAACTTACATTGATTTTTAAAATAAATCTAGGAGAATCTAACCATCATAACGTTTGCCCTCTACAGTTATCCATTTAAAAACTACTTGAACGTGCTCTTCTTTAACAGAATTTGCATCATTACTACTTCTCTTTGAATTTGTATTTCCATTACATTATAGAATATTATTATAAGGTACATTATATTTTTACTCCTGAGTATATTTCTTTGCAACAAATTATATATACTCACTCATTTGAGTATCCATTCTGATAATTAGATTTATGTATTACAAAATTTTCTATGACTGTTGTCAAAATAGTAGAGTCTATGGTTTATACCACATGCAAGCTAACAAGTTGTTATGCCTCAGTTAATGCATCCTAGGAGAAAACACAAGAGTCCCAACAAAAGCAGTAGTCAGTACCAGCATTAGCATGAGTTATTTGAGCTTCATTTCCCACAGTGTGATGCAAAGAAGGCCAGGTGGCAGGCACATTTGCCATGGGTTAGATTACAGAAGCGGAACCATAAGTTTAGGGAACCTAAGTCTTTTGTAATGTACATTAAGCATGATTACTACCCTTTGCTCCATAGTAAGATATTCTATCTTCTAAACTATGCTATGCTATGTTTCCTGTGCAAACATATTTGAAAAGATGGGGCTGAACAAAGGTACTCAGTAATTATTATACATAAAAGTAAAATATATTAAACAACTTAATAAAATAGATGGGCCTTTCTTCCAGTTAATTTATGTATCCATTGATGAATGTAGCTTATTGAAAGGATGAGAGAGGATTCAGTTTCTCAGTTCTACCTACTCCCCTTCATTTTTTTCTTTAGGTACTGAAAAGCTTTGTTCACAAAAATAGTATATGAATTTGCAGTTTTCTTATAATAATGCCACTCAATTCTTTTAAACATGTTTCTTATTTATATTCTAAAAATTAATCATCTTTTATCAAAATGTTTAGTGATAGATAATGAGCAACTTAATTGAAAACTTCTGTTTTAATATAAATCAGTAAATTAGAAACCACCTGATATGCCAAAGGATGTATAATGCAGTCTTTAAAATCTTTTCCAGTCTTAATACCAACTATGGGATACTTAAAAGTTTTTAAGGACAGGTAAAGTTCTGGATAGGTGAGGATATGCTTTTTTTTTTTTTTTTTTAAATAAAGTAGAAAAAGGTATTTTAGAGAAAGCAAAGAACAGGGACTATGTAAGATATCATTAACACACTTCTTAAGCAGATTAGTATGAGTAACATGAAGAAGAAGATAAAGAAATTGATTCCTTTAAAATTACCTTAAGTCTGTGTGTACCTCCTGGAAAATCTTTATATGTTGCTCTGAAAACTACTGCTTTAATGATAAAATTCTTCTCTTTCACGCACCCCCCATCCAAGTATACAATAAATATAATGTGTGTGTTCAATAAAATGTGATTAGAATAATTTTTAAATATAGTATGATTTGCATAATTCACAAATATCTCATAGCCACAGAGCCAGGCATTCTGATTTGCCAGACATATTAAGATAACTATAGTGAAAATTTTAACTACAGGCATACCTTGGAGATATTTCAGGTGTAGTTCCAGACCATTGCAATAAGGTGAATCCCACAATAAAGTGAATATCACAGTAAAACATGTCACACAAATTTCTTGGTTTCCAAGGGCATGTGAAAGTTATGTCACACTACTGTAGTCTATTAAGTGTGCAGTAGTGTTATGTATTTATAAAATGTACTGCCTTAATTTAAAAATTCTTTACTGCTAAAAATAATAACCATCTGAGCCTTCAGAGAGTCTTCATCTTTTTTGTTGGTGGAGGGCCTTGCTTTGCTGTTGATGGCTGCTGATTAGGGTGGTGTTTCCTGAAAGTTGGGGGGACTGACAATTACTTAAAATAAGACAACAATGACGTTTTGCTACATCGGTTGGGTCTTCTTTCACAAACAGTTTCTTTGTAGCATATGATGCTGTTTGATAGCATTTAACCCGCAGTAGTCCTTCTTTCAAAATGGGACCCAATCCTCAGTTGACCCACTACTTTATCAACTAAGTTTATGTGATATTCTAAATCCTTTGTTGTAATTCCAACAATCTTCGCAGCCTCTTCACCAGCAGTAGATTCCAAGTCATCCATACACAGCAGCTCCTCATCCATTAAAGTTTTATCATGAGAGTGTTGCAGTTTAGTCATATCTTCAGGCTCTACTTCTGATCTTAGCTCTCTTGCTCTTTCAAGCACATCTGCTGTTACTTCCTCTCTACAATTCAGTCTCACCCTGTATGACACCGGCATGTTCTGGGCTGCTGTCCCTCCACTAGATCCCAGGTTAAGAGCAAGGTTTTTGTGTGTTGTCCCTTTCAGAGGATGCCTGCGTTTAAAGGATACAAACCTTTAATTTGTAACATAAATGAAATATTTGTAAAATGCAATAAAGCAAAACACGATAAAATGAGGCATTCATAAATAATTCATCTTTAATTAAAACTAACATAAGGATTTAGTTTATGTCATTACTGTTGGTTTTAATTTTTACATGGGATTTTCCATTTTATCATTGTCCTTGTACTTTGGCTAATATTCATTAAGAATTGGAATTATTAGGATTTTGAACTTTATTGTATACATGTAATTTATGAAAATTGCTGTTTTGGTACAAACAGATAATCCGAAAGATGGAACTAAACATTTTGATATGTTAGCTACCACATAAGAAATGACACTTAAGAAAAATTAAATTGGAAACAATTTCCAGAACCATTGTTATTGATTGGTATATTGTAGTTAAGAGTTTTATAATCAATTTTCATGCTTATTAAAGCCAAGAAAATATTTGAAATGTTATATGCATTTGACCCTCAGGTATGTTTATTAGAGTTTTTATTATCTTTCGTAACAACAGGCTTTACTATAGTAAACAAAATTAAAAAGGGGAAAAGAGACTTGAAAGGTCAGATCATCAGTTTCTGAACCCATAATATGGTGTGTGTCCCTGATATTTAAAAGTTAAACATATTAAATTTCTGTTAACTTGGAAAAATTCCGTATAATCAGGTTTTAAAAGACACAATTTTTAATTTGTTTATTCGTATTTTAGATAATTAGATCATTGTACAAATGATGTCAAAATTCTGGGTTCGGTTTCCCTTCCCATTACTAGTTACTTTAAAGAGAAAAATATTACCACGAACAGCAACTGAGCTAGTCAAAAGCATGCCAAGGAAAATTTTAATGTACTTTTCTCAGAACAACTTGAAAGAACATAGTCAAATAAAAATGTTTAAGTTGATATCTTATTGGTGGAGGGCTTTATCTTTTTAAAATAAAGCACAGTGTATTCTATGTATATTTTAAGTTATCAAGTTTTGTCAAGTTATATAACGTATAATTTTGTAACTTTAGCTGAAAGCACTGAACACTAGATCTATTATTAATAGTCACTTGTTCTAATAGGTCAGACCACTTATATGCCTTCTTCATTCAGTGGAGTCCAGAAATATATGCAGAAGATACTGGTGAATATACCAGAGAACCTGGATTCATAGTTGTAAAAAAGATTGAAGAATCTGAAACAAATGAGGGTTCATCTAATGAAGAAGCAGCCAGAGAATGGGAGGTAAGAAGAAAAATGTGAAGATTTTATTAATCTTTTTCTTTTGTGTGTGAATTTATAGCTCTATGATAGTATAGGAAAGTACACAAAATCTTGGTAGAAAAGAATACTCTTTTAAAAAGGTTCATTGCCCATGTATATACGTGTTTATTGAATGAATCTTATTAGTAACTTGGATTCATTACTATTTGTCTTTCTTTTTTCTTTTTTTTGCTTTTAAATATTAGAGAAGCAAAGTATCAGCAATAAAGTGACTTACTGAGTGCATTTTGGAATAATATCATTGCTATTATACTAATTTTTATGAAATATATTTTCAGGTCTGATTTATTACTATTATCTTCTACGTGGGGGCAGGTATAGCAGTCATTTAACACATTCATGCAAATTACTACTCTTTTCTTAGTCTATACCCAAGTTTTCTTGATGTGAATATAAAAATAATGATAGGGAAATAAGCTGATGCTAATTTATAAAATAGGGGAAATATTATGTCCTCAAATTTGATGAACTTTTCTATATGGGCAAATTAATAATAATTGACTTTCTGTAATCCCTATTAAAAATATCTTTTAATAATATATATGTTTTACATGCTTTATCTTGTGGAATTGATAGGGTAGCAATTACTGATTTACTTATTATGATTGCCTAGATTAATCTCTTCTTGATGTGTTGAAAAATATAGAGCAGATGCTAAAATGTGATAATAAATCGGTTCAAATTTTGTTATCCATTTGGTGTTAATGTTCGTGATTGTGTATGTGATATAAATTTATTGTGCATGAAGTTAACATGTATAATGATGGAAGATATACATGGCATGTTTTTTATTTAAAAGGTGAACCTGATTTTAAATGTCCATTCTGTATAGTATATAGAACAGTTTCTACTGTAACTTTAATATAATGGCGGGAAAGAGGTAACTTATGTTAGGCACATATTATAAGTTCTTTTAATACTTAAACCAACATTATTAATCTTCTCACCAGCTTTATTCACAATAGCTCCAAACTGAAAACAACTTGAATGCCTATGAGCAGTATTCTTTAAAGCTCCTCATGGTGCAGTACAGAAGGAAAAACCACTATAGTATACCTCATGCGACCACTTCAGGTATTGCATTGAACTTATACAATGCTAACACTGGAAGATTCTTTCAAATTATGTTGATCACATTGTAATTTAATTTTCCAAGTCTCTGTCATGCAAGTAACGTTGTATAAAATATTTTTCAAAATATTATATTTTTTTTGGTGTTGCATCTGCATACCAAAAACATAAATTTGGTTCACTGTGGAAAAAGATTTATTTAATTATTTGTGCCTTGATTTTTTAAAACATGTTTTCTTATCAGTAGCAGTCATGCTGATATAATTTCTTCAGGCATAGCTCCCTTACATACCAAAGGACTCTTGTCAGATTTTGATTTCCCTGTACTTATAGTGCCTCTGAATATGCATACCTGGCCGTAATTTAGTTATCTGTGCCTCTTAAATTGTTCATCAAATATTCTGTGTTTGAACAAATGTCTGTGTTTGAACAAATGCAGGCTAAACTTTGAGAACCACTGGTTTAGATCTATAATGAAACATCCAGTCCAGCCTTCTCAAAAACACGTGATTAAAAACATATATGAGCAAAATCAAAGCTGTACTAGGAGAATCTATGGGGATGTTAGTTGAGTAGATAACCAACAAAAGAAGTTATCCTGTGCTTTGAGTGTGTGTGTGTGTGTGTGTGTGTGTGTGTGTGTAAAAATCTCATTTAAACCACATTTTGGTACAAATTTTTAATTTTAGAAAATCTTACTGTAAGGGATGAATAGTTGCTATGTGTAGGGGGTGAGCTGAGTGGGTTGGATGTATAAGGATACTTTGTATGTAGTGACACCAATGTGGAGATGGTTGTGTGCCCATGAGATCCTATGGGAACGAGATCTTAGGGAAAGTGTGGTTGGAGACATAGGCAGGGGAGGTGGCAAATGTGTGTGCGAGGGAGGGTGTTCAGTATGGAGTGTGCTCGGTCCCGTACATAGGCATCAGCCTGGATGTGCAAGCTCGAAATTGGAGGAAGGAGATGTGGGTACATGGGTGTGGTGCAGTGGTGTGTGTACTGGAAAGGTGTTGTGTGCCAAGGTGTTATTGAGTGTTCACGTTTTTTGTGTATGCACAAGATAAAGGAGGAGGAGCATATTTAGCTTAAAATAGTAGAAATCTACAGGTCTATTATGACATTGAATTCTAGTTAAAGTTGAACACTGGCTTATTTTAGTTTATTGCTTTAATAATATTTAAATCTTAAAATTTTTATTTCTTTGGTTATAATCAGCATACTACTGATTAGTGAAGTATATGTAGGTATAGTAAATATAAGTACTTTTTCAAAAAATCAAATGTTAGAAAATGCTCTGCAACAGGCAGAAGGATTTTCAGGTCATTGAATATTTGTGTAGGATTTATTTGTACTATGTTGACTTTGTTTTTTACATAGTTGTTCTCTGAAATTTGAGAGTTCGAGCATCCTCAAAAATATCTTACTGTTTTTAAAATGCTCATATAAAAGATGATATTTTATAGAATTTTTAGATGTAAGTAATATAATTTTTATGATTTTGAGCAAACAAAATGTTATTTGAAATCATTTGTGTACTTTGGGAGGGGCTCTGGCAACTGTATTTACTACTCTTTTATGACTAAGATATTTTAAGTATTTCTTAGTGTACTTAGTGTTTGGAAATACAGGCACTGTGTCTTTAAACCTTTGAGCCCTTTCTTTGCACATTTGAATACAGTGCAACCAAACTTAAACATGGGAAACCCTATCTTCCCTCCCCAGCTTAACAGTCTCCACTCAGGTCTCTCTTTGCAATGGATACTACTTAGTGATTAGCTCTCTGTATTGTCAATCAAATCTTTGTCTCTAGCAAACTGTTTTGTCACAGTTGTAGGAAGGGCTCCTGTGCTGGGAATTTATCTTTGACAGAGGAAGAATGCTTTTTACAACAGTTCTTACAAGATCTGATGTAACTTAATTTGCCCAGGAAAGGAAATGTCTCGGCTCTGGTATGGGAAAAAGGGGAGAAGACATCAACCAATTAATCATAAGTATACTCTGGTAATCTTAGCTAGTGATTTCAGTTTCTAAATTTACTAGTCTTTTTATGGTGTCATTATGCAAAATTATACGATTTCTAAAAGTGTAAGCTTGGAGAATGTTCATAGAATACAAAATTATATGATTACAGAAAAAACCTTAAGTTATTTCTGCTAAGTTTAAACATCTTAAAAAAAAAAAAAGGAAATGAATAAGAGACTGTAGTTTTGTTTTGTAAAAGTTTTTTGTTTTTCTGTTCTACATAAGCAGTAGTTACCAAATCTTTATTGCTGCCTAATTTTTTATTTTTATTATTTAAGCTTAACTTTATAGGAAAATATTCAGAATTTTTTCCTGATTAAAAATAGAGTAGAACAATCAGAGTGAATTAACATGAAATTTATTGACTGATATCAAACTAGATACATTTAAAATATTGTGTATTAAAACTACTATCATTTTAGCAATCTGACAACGACTTTTTGAAACTATCCAAAAAGTTTCACGCAGTGGTACCTAAAACAAAACTTTAAAAGGTATTTTAGTGAAGAAAAATGTGGAGGGTGCACTGAGGGAATAAATAAGTGGTCTGCTTCCCAGCCAGCAGCTCCAGCCTGTCACATGCTCAGGCTGCCCCTGACAATAGCCTCTGGTCCAGAAGGCTGGGGTATTGACCTGCTGCTGTGACAGAGCAAAAGTGAGCTCCTCCAGAAATGGGCTTGTCCGACCCAGTCATCACTCTCAGAAAGCTGAGCATCTGTTATTTTTAGAACTTGCCTTTTTACTCTTTCCTGGCCACTGATGTGGGCATTGGGAGGGAAAGCCTAGTTCTCTCCATCCCTACTTTAGATGGGTTTATTTTTGGTATTTTATATCTAATAAAGACCATACTCTTAAAGAAAGAAAGAAAATCTCAGTCTACCTTACTATTTAAGAATCCTAATCATTTATTTATCAGTACAACTGTGTGTGCATTATTTGTGTGAAATGTGGTGCCGAGTATTCTTTCTGTGCTATTTCAGGATTATATCTCATCTTATGAATGTTAATTTTATTTTTTTCCATGATTGTAGGTGATTTAATAAATAGGGCTAGTTATATCCTAGCAGAAGCAGAAGTGACTTTGGAAGATGCCCCCAAAGTAGCTTGCCACCCATAAATGTTAAGCATGTAAAATATCAAGATGACTTCAATCAGTGTTGCTTTTAATTGGGCTTGAGAGTACCTTATATGTTCTTTTATTTTTCGTTTAATAATTTCTAGTTTTTGTTTATCAGCACAGGGATTTAGGAAACTGAAGTGATTGGACTGGATAAATTTGTCATCAGATTTATGAGAATAGTCAAATCAACACAGATTTTTTTAAAAGCAAGAACAATGAAGGTATTCATGTATATTTTATTTGAATTAGAGTAACCATCATTAGTTTTCTAAGACTTAAATTGTTTTAATTTATTACATGTACAGACAAAATAAATTGTATGTGTTTTGGATTTTATAGGTCTTTAAAATGTATATCACACTGATTACACTCGCCAATTTTTGTTCAGCCTTCTAGGAAGCTGTTACATGATCTTTTCAGATATGAAAGCATGGTTCTCACTGATCTCCAGCTCTGCCATATGTCTAGTTTATATGTATTATTTCATTTAATCTTCACAGTAACTTTGCATAGTCAGTAGTATTAGACCCATTTTAAAGATGGGAAAACAGTTTACTGAACTAAACTGTCCTGGAGCAGAGACAGCTTGAACCCAGCACATGCTTTTCCCTACTGGGATGCCTTTGAGAATCTTCTGAAATGGTATAAATACAGTATAATGTGCTTTCATGTGTAGACAAGCTTTCTATCTTTGCTGAACTGATTAGCAGAATGGTATATATTTAAGTGAAGACTTAAGTCATAG